TATATATATATATATATATATATATATATAAATGATCCTATTAAATTTTAGGAATTTTAAATTACCCTTTTACATAAAGTTAGGTTCCACTCTTTTCACATTGACTGTGAAATAAGTAGAAAATAGTTTTGATGCTGTTTTTGTCGGCACAAGTAAAATTGATTAAACCAAGAATTTTTTCACTTTTTTTGGAGCCTTCTCACTTCGGTAATCTAACAAAAAGAGGTAACAATAGTCTGTCATGGTCTCTAAGAAATTTTTTTTTGGCTTCTAGCAAGATCCATAAATTTGCTGCATAATTTTTGTTAAGATTCGCCTGATAGGTTTGGGATGGTAACTTCTACAGTGTCTGGAATGCGGTATGACTCGACAATATGATTAAGAGTTATAATGATCCCAACTCAATACTATATGAGGTATTATCCAAATTGGACCGTCTCATCCCATATTAGGTGAAACTTATGGTTTAGCTGTTGGTGCGATTTTTTGGGAGGTTATTTATCTGAGTTGTTTTTTATTATGAGCTAACTTGAAGATTGCATTTTGGATTTGTTTTATTGCATTTTTATGGGGGTAGTTGCTGAACTGGTTTTTTATGTGAAGAAATCAAATTTTGTGAATGTTCATTCCCCGAATAACTTTTATTTATTTATTTTCATGTTGTATGACTACACCCAGTATTATTCTTCTATGTACTTTCATTGTTAAGCAATGCAGATAGAAGCTCGCAACAACAAGTTAGAATTGCACTCTGCAAACCATAAAAAACTAATGGAGGAGCTGGATAAGCTAGTTGGACGGTTACATATCCCTCCTGAGGTATATTTATTTTATCTGCTAGTTTGTGTTAGAGCATATTCCAATGAACTAGTTGGCGCTAAATTTATTATCATTTGTTTTGTGGATCTTGTAAATGACAGTTTGCAGCATCTCTAAGGGGTGGTTCATTTGATGAACCTCATGTGGTGAAAAGCATTGAAGCTTGTGAATGGTTAATTGGGGCAATACGTCATCTGCAAGTGCCAAATTTGGATCCATCTTATGCAATTATGCAAGCTGTACTTCATCTGTTAACTTCTTAAGTGTTTAAAAATTTTGCGACACTGTAGAGGTTCTAGTACCATTATCGCATCATTAGTTGTATATATGTCCCACTTGAAGTTTGCTAACTTTCTGTTAGTAGATTTGTGAACCATATATGAGAAATTTAGGCTGAGCTGAGAATGTTTGTTAAGGTTAGTTAAAATAGATAGATTAAAAATTAAACATACAAATTTTCTTGTTTTTGAATAATTGTTTGTTTTTTTTCCTTGATGTAAATAACCTTTCCTTGTGTTTTGTTAGATTTATGGATATGAAAATAATCGGTAAGTAACTGTACAGGTTAAGGAGAGACGTGTGGAATTAGAGAATTTAAAAATTACGTTTGTTCGGCGTGCATCCGAGTTCTTGAAAAACTACTTCACTAGTTTGGTGGATTTCATGATGAGCGACAAGAATTATTTTTCTCAGGTGAATTTCTAATTACAGAAGTGTAGCTATAGCTGTTGCGGTAAATACAAAATTAATTTAAATCTATTTTTGATTTCTTGAAGCGAGGATCATTGAAAAGGCCTGACCATACTGATTTGAGATACAAGTGCAGAACCTATGCACAACTTATTCAACACTTAAAGGCATGTGTTTGATGATAAACTTCTTTGAACAAATTCATTGTGCTGAGTGCGTCTTCTAATTCTTTGTTTTGCACTATATTTAAACTTTTCAGAGTCTTGACAAGAATAGTTTGGGCACTTTACGAAAAGCATACTGTCATTCCCTTAACGTGCTGCTTTGTCGAGAGGTCAGGATGTAAAAGAAATGCTTGAAATAACTGGCTTCTTTTCTGTAATTTAATATGCTGATTTGCTTCTATTCAGAAAGTGTGTGTGAATGTTTGTGTGTGTGTGTGTGTGTGTGTGGGAGTGGGGGGGTGGGAATACTAATCTATATGTACTGATTTTTGAAGACTCAATATACTTGTTTATAAAATGGGAAGAAAGAACACTAACCTATATGATTCATGTAAGTACAAGTTTCATCTCATAAAATATCAAAAAAATAGGTTTCATTAAACTTAATGTGATCTACAAGCACCTTGCATTTGATAAGATCACTTATGCAATGCAAAATCAAGTGATGAAGGGAGAAAGGGTTCATTTATCATAGATTTTATATTCATTATTTGCCAAGAAAATAGTTCTTATACTGATTTTTCATACAAATTATTTTGTTAAAAAAAAAGAAAAAGAATTTTACTCTTTTCTACACAACCTTACCTTTTTAGTGCTTAGTTTTCCTATTATTATTTGAAGCAAATAGGCAGTTACAATCAACACACTTGAAAGGTTATATAACTACAAGACACCTGGAAAATTCTGAAATAGCAACAGACACAACACAAACAATCAAACTAGGGTGGAATCTCAGGGTGGTGGTGGTGATACGCAGGGCTTTGCAAGGTAGCAGTAAGGTAGGAACGTAAAGCAAGAGGGTGGATATGATAATGGAACATGTTCTTGTTGTCCTGGCGGCAGTAGGGTAGAATTCCGATTCTCGAGGGTTGGAACAACATATATATGGCAAAGAGGTGGTGCAAGAGGACTGGGACAGTGGTTAGGTGGCAGGGACGTGTTATGGGATGACTGAAACAACAGTTGGTGGGAAGGGGAGGAATTTATGGTGGCTGGAACAATGATGATAGCAAGCGGGAGTGCTAGAATCTTAGGAAATATGGGTTGGAGTGCAGAAACTGCAGGAAAAATAGCGTTGACAACGGTTCCGAGTGGTTGTAGTAGGAAATGGTGGTGGAGAGCAGTTTGGGGAGGATGTGGAAGGAGATTAGAGAAGATAAACACCATATCGGGAGAGGGATACAGTCGGTGCACCACTCAAACCCCTCAAATATAGCTCTTGAAGTGAGAAACGGATGCTGACAGCTGTCCTAACTAAAATCTGACCCAAAAATCCCTAAAAACAATAAAACAACATATTATAGACTTAGGGTAAATAGGATCAGAGCCCACTCCCAATAGGAAGGAAGTCCACTTAAAAGAATGGTCGACCGACCCTCTTGGATCAGTCCAGGCTGCCCTTGCTCCGGGTGTTTGCGTATTGTAGCAATGATAGGAAAAATCCCTCCTAGGTCTCTCTCGTGTCAGTCTCCTAGGATTATGGGAGGTTAGACCTCATCTGTTGAAGTTTTTTGTTTCCTCATGATAGTCAGGTCAATCCTGTTGCAAGTAGTGAAAATGTTGCAAGCTCCCGACAAGTCCATCATGTATGCATTACCATTCCAAAATACATCCTGATATAATAAGTATCATTCAACTTTTAACACAACTTGAGCTAGAGCATAATGGCATAATTTTTCACGAGCCCAATCTCAAGCAAGTAAATCTATAATTTGCTTCTCTCAATCTTCCTATTCAGCTAAATATATGTGATAAAAAAACATGTGAGGAGAAATCAACTCTAGGATGAAATCTATGGCAGAGTGAGACACTCTCATTAGCAACCACTCAATAGTAACAATTTCTTCTTCTCTAGTAGGATTTTCTTTCGCACAAAGATTCTGAGGTGATCCCTAACACTGTGATTCATTCATTCTCTCTGATCATCTTTTGGGGAGGGTACACTATTGAACTGAATTTAATACTTAAATGATTCCCTATTGTCTTCCAGAAGTAACTCAAATTCTTATCATCTCTGAAAAGTTGGATCTTTCTCAGTAAGGGAAACTTAGGGGCAGGACTATTTATCTGAACCGTATGAGTTCCTTTTATCTGAAGTTGCTTTGTGTCTAGTATCAACCCCTCAAACTTATGGCAGTTTCAGACATCCATTGCCAATTATGTTGACGCTTCTTCAAACGCCTGCAAAAATGTAGTTTGAGACACCAAGACCTCATACTTTGTATGAACGCTCATTACATCAGACTTACTATCTTTTAAAATAACTACTGTCAACTCAATCGGTGCCTCTCTCGTGGGTTGAACTGGAATTGTTGACATTTCTTTCTCTTCAGCTAGAAGTTGAGAAGTCTCTCTGAAATTTTCATCTTCTACTGGATCATTGTTTATTTCTTCAACTGTTCCCTGATCCTTGAAAGAGATCTTTCTCATGGTCATGCAATTTGATACGGTATGCCCAAATCTATTACATTTGAAACACTTCCTGGCTGAGCAGATTTGAAACTGTGGATTGGTTCCAACTGCTCTCCACTCTGACCTAGTGCGCTCTCAGGCAGGGTCGGCTTGGATGTTTCATTGAGTGTACTTTGGCTATAAGATCGTGGGGTTGAACCTTGCCTGTAAGATGTGGGGGTCGCCCGGTGATATGTTCTCTTCACTTTTGAACTCGAGGTTTGAACCTTCAGTCTGTAGTGAGCTGGTAGGCATTGCCACTGCATCTCCTGTTTCATCTCGGACCTGTTAGTGTCTTTTCCTTCACATTGAGGTTTGACTTTCTTTTTTTAATGCTCCTTTTATTTTGATGAAGTAATGTGTAAATATTTAACCTAAATAGAGAAAAAACAGAAATGTTATGGCTTTGCTTGGACATGTGCCTCCGCAAACACTCGCACCCCACACCCCTCTTTTAAATGCTCCTTTTATTTTGATGAAGTAATGTGTAAATACTTACCTAAATAGAGGAAAAAAAAAATGTTATGGCTTTGCTTGGACATGCACCTCCGCAACCCCACCCAAAAAGAAAAGAAAATATGTTAGCGAGCTTGACTTGGAATGCTTTCTTAGTTGATCTTTTCACAAATCGTTATAGTTTTGCATTGATTTTCCAAAAAAAAAAAAAGTAATAATAATCATATTTGAGTTTGATAGTGTTCATGTTTTAGTAGTTTCCTTCATTGCTATAGTATACTTTCATTACTTATGTTGTTCCCAAACTCTGTTGCGTTTGAATTAAGCACCTCCAGGCCCCTACTGTTTATTATAATTGTATGCAGGACTGGCTGTTTTTACTTTCTCTTTCTCAGCCCACTTGCCTTCTAATAGTCTATAAAGTCGATGATTGTTATGTTCAGGTTTGCCAAGGATATCTTACTATATTAAAGTTGCTACATTTTCGAAAGAACTCCTAGCTCATGGATTGTTTCTTCTTAGATTTACTTTGCTAGGCTTGGTTTCTCAAAATTGAATGATGCAATAATGCATAATTTTATTCTTAAATCCGGAAGTTCTTTTTTCAGGCTCGTGAATTTGCAAATGAACTCCGTGCTAGTACTAAAGTTGGAAAAGCTCCTGCAGCATGGTTTGAATCTCATGCAAGTTCAGGCCAGACAGCAAATAGTGCAGAAACTGTTGTCTTGTCTGAAGGATATTCTAAAATGCTTACAATTTTCATCCCTCTTCTAGTAGATGAGGTTAACTCATGTTTCATGGCACATCCCTTGAGTGAATGGAATTTTTGACAAAATGATGTGACTTGGCTTCTAAATTTTTTTCAGAGTTCTTTCTTTGGACAATTCATGTGCTTTGATATACCTACTTTGGCTAACGGCAGCAATAGTTGCTCTGATGGCAATGGAAAAACTGATGATAATCAAGAATGTGTAGCTTCTGGTGCGAAAGATGTTTAAGATGATGTCAATTTATACCACTGTAAAATGCATATTGTTTAAAAACTGTTTCCAGTACTAATTGCTTAATACAATTCTTGCCTTTGCATTCTTCATATCATGAAAAATTGTCTAAACTGAAATGTAGTTGGTTTATTTTCTTATTTAGGGGGCAGCACTACTGAGTTGTGTGTTTTAAATGAATCTCTTCAAGAATTACTTGATGGTATTCAGGTGAAATTTCTGCATCTAATCAACAAATTTGTTCCAGGTGATTGATTGCTAAGTGGTTAAATGTTTTTAATGGAAACCTCATTTTTAAATGTGCTGCCTCAAGTTATTTCCTTAAACATCATAGTGTTTTTTGCACCATGTAAATGAATCTCTCTGATTTCGTAAACGATACTCCAAAAATGATCCATTATGCTTTTTCCATCGACATTGAATTGTTCAGCAAATACTATCATCTGGATTTTGGAGTTATGGGTTTTTGGTTTCTTGTTTTTGATCTTTTGATCGTAGGAGGATTTCTATGCCTTGTTGGATTGGGCGTTCAAATATGATCCTTTGAGGTGCATTTCAATGCATGGTATAACAAAGCACTTTCTTTCTGGTCAGAAGGCTAATACAACTGGATTTGTCCGTTTACTACTGGATGACTTGGAAGCTAGAATATCAATGCATTTTAGCAGGGTCAGTTCTTTTTTATTTTCTTCATCTTTTATTCCAATGTATAATGTTGATTGGCTTGTTTAATTTTCATTTCATGTGCAGTTTGTTGATGACTGTATATATGTGATTGAGAAGACTGAACGAAATGCATGCCAATTGGGAGTTCTGCCATATATTTTGAGGTTGATTACTCGTTCTCATCAATTATCATTTATAATAGATTGAGTTCCTCAATTTTATTAGGGATAACTGATCAGCACTGGACGCACAAGTTTTGTTATTCTTTTCTTATTTGATACAACTGAGTTTAAGTTTATTATAATCATCTACGATTTATTTTATGTTGTGCTTTGCTGTTTGCAGTTGCGATTATTGCTTTAGATGGATAACAAAATTTTAACAGGTATCCAAGTATTTTATTTGATTAATACAAGTTTAATGTTTGGTTGCCCAGATTTGCAAACCTAGCTACTCGCATGGAGCAATACATCCAGGGCCAATTTAGAGATTTAGTCGACCAGGCGTATAGCAAAATCGTAAGCATTTATAATTATGTACTACTACTGAGTGTGAACTCCATTTTTGCAAGAATGTTGTTCTGGTTTGTTCATATGAGAACATTACGCAAATAGGAAATTCAGATGACAATTATCATAAATTTTTTTCCTGAAAAACCAGCTTGGTTCCTTACAGTACTGCAGTAGCAGAATTTTTTGGCTTTAGTTTTGAAACGCTTGTAAATTAAGATTATTTTTATAAACTGCCACAGGTTAGCATAATGTTTGTGTGCTTGGAGAGAACTGCACAAATGGACCCAAAGTATTCTGACATTGTACTTCTAGAGAACTATGCAGCTTTTCAGAACAGGTAAAAGTTCTGTTATACTAAAACAGTTGTTCTCGACTTTATAGCTTATGGCTATAGGTCATGGCTATGTTTAATCTCCTATGACATCCTTTTATTGTTATAAGAAAATTATTTTCTGATGAGTATTATTTTTCGGGCCGCAGTCTTTATGATTTAGCTACTGTTGTGCCAATACTAGCAAAATATTATCATCAAGCCAGTGAATCTTATGATCAAGCTTGTACGCGTCACATCAACATGGTTATTTTTATTGTATGTACAGTCTTCTTAGCTTTCTTTCCCGTTTTTTTCTCATTGATAATATTTATCCTCTTTTTTTCTTGGATGTTACTAGCCGCTATTTCCGTTACTTTTTTTACTTGTAGACTACCTACCCAACAATTATTAAAAATTTTTTATTTTTAGACATTTGAGAGATTATTTCTCTTCGCTCGAAGGATTGAGGAATTGATGTTCACAATTACTCCTGCAGAAGTGAGTAACTCTTGAAATCCTATTTGTAACTGAAATTTTAACTAATAACTGATTTAGAACCATGATATGACATTTTTTCATTCTATATGTGATGGCATTTATCCTATTAGGTTTTAATATCAGCATCATGTTGTTGCATCATCACTTTTTAAAGAATTTTAATCATCAGTTTGTAGCCATGTGGTCATTTAGTTTTTATGCTTACTGTAAATGTGTTTCCTCTGGTAAATGCGTGACTAGAACATTATTAGTTCGATTTATTTTTAATCAAGTGCAACATCATTCAATATATTGTCTTTTTTATGTAAGTCTAATGCGGATGAAAACAAATGCTGTGTGGTATGAAGGTAAGGAGGAGTTGCTGTTATTCTCAAATGCTATCTTGATTCGATTAATCGAGAGAGGAAAGATAGAAAAAAATATTGCTTTCTTATTGAAGTGCACCTATTTATGTGGTTGCTGACAATACGCTTTGTAATATACAGATACAGTTTCAGGTTGGGATGTCAAAAGCTGACCTCCAGAAAATGCTGAAGTTCAGCTTATCGAGAGTACAAAGAAAATACTCGCTTTTTTCTTATTTGTTTTTCTTTCCTTTTTATGGTAAAATTCTTTATTCTCGTTGGCAGCTTGACAAGACAATTAATGCTATGTATAAGAAGTTACAGAAGAATCTGACTTCAGAAGAATTGTTGCCTTCTTTATGGGACAAATGCAAGGTTTGTTTTCTTTTAAGATATAAGACAAATTTTAAATATTTTTTTGGAAGTACATCTTCTTATTAAAATTTCTCTTTTACTATATTGTGTTTTTTAGGGTGGCTGGAGGCTCGTATAGTAGCCTCTGGCCATTCCTTTTTTTTTGAAAAAAAAATATTGTGTTCTTCTAGGGCAATATGTTAAAGGCAATTTCATCAGTGACGGGTATAACTCCTATGCTTTTCAGTCCAAAGTTGTATTTATGATCCATTGAAGCAGACTTTGACTCCAATAGATTGAATTTTCTTTATTAAAGCTAGTCCTGAAGAATCTCTTGCTATCGTAGTCATCAATCCTCACATTTTCATCTTTTTAGTTTCATCTCTCCCATTTCTCATTTAAACTCCAGACCACTTAGCTCTACCAATGTTAGAAAAGATGTCCGCAGGGAACAACAATCAATTCAGAAACAATAAAATAATCAAAACAGGTATAGCGAAGGTTCCGTTGCAATCGCTGGAAGAAAGACTTGCTGGAAACGGAGTGCACTTGTTGCCTGCCATAGAGAGTTGGATGGAGGGTTGTTGCTGTAGCCTCCAGGTTCATATGAGTATTATGGTCCGGTTGCAGTTGCTTTTATGAAATTTTCTCTCAAGCTGCTATTAATTTGTTGCATCAACCTCAGCAAGCATGATTTTTTTTTAGTCACCAGTTGGTTGCCTTAAATACTGTCATGTTGGGTCCTCTAGGTTCAATTTAAACTTGACACATATAAGCCTCGTAGTAGGTGGACATCTAATGATATAAATGTCTTTTTTCTAATCCTTATTTTTTCTGACATTTTTTTTTTTGTGTCCCGAACAATTGAATTGATATTTGGATGTTGCAGAAGGACTTTCTAGACAAGTATGGAAGCTTTGTCAAGCTGGTAAATAAGATATACCCAGGAGAGAGTGTCCCTCCAGTGTCAGAGATGAGAGAGCTTCTTGCTCAAATGTAGATGATTAAAAGAAAAACAAAAATGTTGTGGGCCCTCTGCGTTGTTTGATTTCCCCTTCTATTGGTTTTTTTTATATATACCTGCTTTACCCTGTTTTATTCCCTCATCCTCAAGAAACAAGAAATAAGAATGAAAATTGAGGCTAAAATCAGTCTCCTGCATCTTTTCTTTTAATCAGATAAATGCGAAAATGTTTTTACTACATTGCTTTGCTGGACGCTGGGACAAAACTATGTTTAATGAAGGTGATGATATCTGGTATTTCAATAGACTGCCGCATAAGCCTCAAAAGAGTATTATAGTCTTAATTTGATAATCTTATGCTTTTATTATGTTCTGTCGTCCAAAACAAAGTCATAATTATTTCAAGTATATATTAAAATTGTGCTGTGCAAACGCATTCCACAAAATATGCTTTTTACAAAGAAAATAGTAAAAATTAAATAATGGTTGTTTTGTGATCAGAGCGATCCGTTTGACCTCCATTTCAAATTTGTCAAATGTGTCCAACGCGAGCCATATTTACCCAACAATATTGCGACAATCCCCCAGGTTGAATCAGGAGAACAAGTTGAATGATGAGATTAACAAAGTATTATATTAACCTACGTAAAATTCCTGGTTTTAATATTGCGAAGGAATTCATAAAAAGCATTTAAAAAGATCTTGTCGCAAGGGAGTTAAAATGTTTAATAAGGTAGTAATGATAATTTGAAGATGACTTTCTCCTTCATTAAATTCTTCCAATGGGTGCACATTCACTCATTACAGAAGCCCTACATTTGGGAGGTGTATGATTTGAAGGTGGTTTGTGTGCAGAAAATATATTTAGTTTTATCATTTTAAAGGATGAAAAAAATCTTAGATTTTATCTCTAGTAAGTGAATTATTAAAAGGTAGACGAAGATTCAAGCACATATGGCCTCAATGTATGGCAAGGCAGCAAAACAAGGAATAATTAGATGATGTCATCATGGTTATGTAAATACATGGCTTCAAATTCATGAATTGTTTGATCAATGACAAGATAGGACCATTTGATGTTGATCTTATAGAGTTGTTTGAAGAGATTGACTTTGGAAGGAGACACCATAAAATATCGCAATCATCCTTCTCCAAGAAACTCAAGGGAAATTATTTCTAATGTTAGGTGAGCACCTCCAAATTATTTATTATGTTTGATTTCCCTTATATTGATAGCCAATACAACTTGAATGCATATGAAGGTTGGCAATGCTGTGTGAAAAATGTAATAATTATAAATTTGTAGGTAGATATGACTCAAAGTCTACATATTATATGTATGAATTTGATGCGTGTTGAAAGTTCCACGACAGTAAAGTGATTATTTAACATGTTAGCATTGTATGAGACTCCAACACACACTCAGATAGTAAAAGAGAGACAGAAAAAGACACGTCAATTTTTTACGTGGAAAACCTTAAAAAGAAAGAAAGAAAAAACTACGGGGCTTAGCCCAGTTGAAATAATCCATTATGAATGTTGAGTAAGCATATTCACTCTTCTCCTTATTTAGAGAATATGGACTTAAAAAGATAATCATTGTAAATGTACAACAATGGTTCATTAATAATAATCGCTGTCTGACTGCAACGAATGTAGTCATGATGATAGCATGCTGCAAAGGTCATAGTCGATTGCTATGGAGGCAGTAGTTCATCATGAACGTTCTAGACGATGGTCATAATGCTAACTTGTCGTATATGTTGTAATAAAAAACCATAGTATTAGTTGGCCATGTGGGCTGCAAACAGTTTCTTCAGGATTGTCGTTTGGCCATAGATGCCTTAGTAGAATGTTGTAAGAGCTATGAGTCACATAGGTCACACTTGGTCACATGAGATGTAGTGTTGAGCTGTGATGGCGTCTGAAGGCAGTAGGGGACGAAGTTGGGGGTTGCTCTAGTTGTGAAGCACGTAGGCTGTAGATAGTCACGTAGGCCGTAGTGGTGAGCTTTGACAATATTCGTAGGCCGTGGGGGCCAAAATTGTGAGTTGCATGGGTTGCAAACTGTTGGCTATATTTGTTTTTGTAAGTTGTAGTGGTGAGTTGTGGCATCATCTGTAGGTCGCAGTGGTTGAAGTCGAGAGCTGCACGAGTTGTGGACGCAAGTCATAATTGGTCACGTAGGCTATAGTGGTGAGTTGTGACAATGGTCGTAGGTTATAGGAGTTGGAAATGGGAGTTGCACTAATTGTGAAACACATAGGCCATAGTTGGTCACATAGGCTGCAGCGGTAGGTTGTGACGACATTTGTAGTTTGTGGGGGCTGGAGTTGGGAGCTACAAGAGCTATGAACCACACATGTCAGAGTTTGTCATGTAGGCTGTAGTGGCGAGTTATGGCGATGTTCATAGTGTGTGGTGGCTAAAGTCAGGGGCTGCACGAGTTGTGAACCACTTAAGTCGTAGTTGGTCATGTAGGATATAATGGTCAGCTGTGACGATGTCTGTAGGTCATAGAGGCCAAAGTTGGGAGCTGCGACCTTTCAACGTTCTTGGGGATTCTAGGAGTTTGAAATGCAAAAAAGTGCCTTTCCAAGGACCAAAATCTGCCTCATAACTCCTTGGGGCGTCTAGAACCCGTCCACAAATGTTTTTGGTGCCTAGGCGTCAGAATGTGGTGTCATGGTGTTATCTTTGTTGTTTTCTGGGCGGGCATTGGCGCCTAGGTGCCTCCCTGCTGACAGCACCCCGTTTGCTCCCATTTCATTCCATTCCGCCTCGTTTCAGTTCTAATCCGCTCCAAGTGTTATACCTACAAGACAAACATAAAAATAACTTTTCTATAAAGTGCAATTTTATTCAAAAGCATGTGATAAATGTAAGGGAAATTAAACATAAAAAAGAAAAAAAGACATCAAAATGCGGCAGGTCAAAATTTTCTCCCTTGCTCCATTTGATTCCAAATTGCACCATTTTTGTTCTATGTTCTCCAAAACTTTATATATTGTACCTAAAACCCAAAACATGCAAGATACATTCCATTAAAGTGTAATATCATTAAAAATGAGCATAAATTGCATATAAAAAAGTAGCGCATTTTTAGATGTGTCAATTCCCCCAAACTTAAACGTTACTTGTCCTCAAGTAGTATTATAACTTTAAAAACCAAATTTATTGATTTGAGGTAGTGGGTATTAGTAGAATTTCATATAATTTTGTCTCAGAAATGTTATAGTGTAAATTAGGAGAAATTCTAGCAAATCAACATAGTACTAGGATGTAAGAATATCTCATATTCAATGTAAGAATCCTGATTTTTTATTTACTTCAAAAGTCATTGAAACTTGTCAAACTAAAGATTCTTAAAAAGTTTAAAAATAGAATTTAAAAACCATATATATACCAATTCGACCGATAATTTTTGAAATAAGAATAAACTTAGGATTGTTTCTAAGTCTTTTCATTTAAAAAGATTTAAATGAAACCAATTTTTGATTAGACATCTCCTAAGCTTTTTCTCACGTTTCATTTCTTTTTTAGGCTACTGAGGACAAAAAAAGTTAAGTTTTAAAAATATTTTTCTTCCCCTCAAACTTGATTTTTAATATGTATAACATTCAATACAGAAAATATAAAAAGAAAAAAAGTCACAGTCCAAAAGTACAATCTACCACGAGTGTCTATCAAAACATTTGCAAATATATATAGGCAGAACAATGTGCAGTTTTATTGGGTGCTTCTAATTATTTTTATTGGGTCTAGCCCCATGGATATGCTTATCCTGATATATTGGTTTGTGATAACCAACCTCAGGCATCACCATATCCCTTAAAGTATGCACCTCTAACAGTTATAAGGGTAGTGTAAAATCATCCTTGGGTTATTCATCAACTGGTTTATTAAACCATATTGAAGAAAATAAGGTCAAATAAATGAAGTAAAAAAAATTAGATGGACCTGTTCTATGCCCAAACTAATAATATCTCTAGTTAATCCTCTAGTCTAGTTTATATTCGAATCATAATGTACTTTTTAATCCAACTACTACCAGAGAGCAAATACAAGTTTAATCACAACGAGAAGTAAAGAAATCACCTCACTCATGATACACACACAGATCAAATCAATCTGCTAACAATCTAAACATCCATTAACATCAATCAAACAGATTAATCCACACTAAAATAAACACATCACAACTCAAAAAAAATACAACTCACAAACACATTAACACAGATAACATATGGGCTGCCTCCCATAAAACGTTTGATTTAACGTCGCCAGATCGACGAATCCCAAGGTTATACATATTTCACTTGCACACCAATTTTCTCCTTGGGATTTTCTAATCCTTCTAAAAGTTCTCTCTTGTTTTGAGTCGTATGGCTCAAGGTCTGCAGCTCCTGAACTACGCATTCAAATCTAAAGACTTAACTAATATAACAGATATATAGTTCTTCAAACACTTAAAATATTTTTGATATTTTTGTTTTTTTTAAATAGACTCATAATAAATAAACACATTAAATAATAACAAAATGAATTCCAAATCTAGCTCTTCCAGGTTCAAATAAAATTCTCTTAAAGTGCTTACCATAACTTCCCCGATAACGACACAAAAAACTTGACCTGATCCCGCAATTACGCATTAATTTAGTTTCTTGGCCAAAAAATTGACCTAGTTTCTTCATGCAGCTAGTGCGTAAAATGAACATGTTATAGAGTTTAGAATTTGATTTATAATTTACAAATTAGGGGTTCTACGCAAGTGCACGTATCATTTCAAGTAATATAAAGTTTTCTTTAAGGCCCAGAGTATCGATCCCACAGAGAAGCGAAGTAAGAAATCCCTTAGGCTAATTCTAGTCAATTACTATCATGTTTTAGTTTGGAGTGTCGATTAATGGTGTTTTTCTAACAACTACTCCTAAATGAAACCCCAAATCTAAATATAAACCTAACTAGATAAATTAGTTTGAGAAATTATGAGATGTAAAAACTATCTTTCTCATGCGGCGACTTAGAAAAAGTGTAGGAATGAAATACTTAGAATCTAATTTGGCCAGTGAAAATAGGAGCAAACCTATTGTTTACCCTCTTCCGAGTGCATAAGGAATATTGGCTAACCTAGAGTCGATTTCTTAAAGCAACTAGATTGTCACGGTGATACTCTATCCATCACCCTAGAGTCTCCTACTCCAATAGCCCTCTAATTGGCTCAATCTCAGGTTTAAGGAATAAATTCCTATATCAAATTGATAGGAATCTAGCATGTCACCCTAGAAACAATAATTTACACTCATCAATGAATATTTCCCTAACATTGCATTAAATCTCTGGACTACTTATCTTTCATCCAAAAATTCACTATGGTACCACTTAGTTGAGAATTTCATCTCTCTTTCAGATGCTAATGCAATTATAACAAATTTTAACATCACAACTGGCCTAATTGCAATGCAAATGAAGTTCAAATGAAATATCATCACATTTATGAAATAAGAGTATTTATAAGCAGATCTAAATTCATAAACATTCATCCAATTCATTGCAAAAGAAATGTAAAATGAAGATAATGAGATAAGGAGTAGAAGAATTGATATAATTATGTGATAATTATTGTGCCAACAAGGAACATATGACTACCTGCCCTCTTCCGAGTGTATAGGTACGCTTAGTATTATATTAGTTTTACACAACTAATAGAGACGCGAAGGTGGGTAAAAAGAAAGCCTTACAACTCTTGGTAAGGATCCCAATACATACATCAATTTTCACCTAGAAGCTCCTAATAGAAACATATCATGAAGTATATTTTCTTTAAAAGTTGTATTGCCACTTAAACTACTTCACCATAGCCAACCAGACAGTATGAGTGCACTCAAGTCGTGAAGTCACCGCTCTTTCAACTAAAAACAAATGTTAACAAAACATATTGTCAGTACATTATGTTAATGAAGCAACAGAGGTATTATTCATCACATAATAATTAAAATTATTCTATCATAAAACAAATTTTCCCACTTATGCCACTACTTCATAACGGGAAGAAAGAGTAAGGAATAATACTCACTAATCATGGAGAAAACACAACAGAAAACTTCATTTAAATCAAAGCAAATCCACTAGATAAATGTTTACAATAATATTAAGATAACAAATAACACGATACTTAACTTTTTCCCACTGTAAGAAAGATGAAAATCCCTCCAACAAAGTCTCCTGCTGATCCTTGCACTGCTTATACAGTTCCTTATAGATATCTCTCAAAATCCTTCACCAATCTCTTTAGAAAAGGTAGAAATCTATATTTTCTACTCCTATCTTGACCT